AGAAATACGCCCTCGGACGACGAGCCTTCAAACCACCAGCTGGCACACATATCGACCAGCTGGCACACACGGCCGCAGCCGGTCACTCCCTCCACACCGGCCCGACCTGGCTCACGACCTCCACGACGTCAGATCAGGAACGCATCCCGCGCCTTCAGCGTGACGTCGGCGCAGTTGGACCAGACCTGCGCCGACGCCTCGCAGTCCCATCGCCAGCCCAGCACGTACCTGCCCGGCTTCAGGCCCGTGGGTATCCGCCGGCCCCTGCAGGGCCGCCGGGCGTGGGAGACCTCCCCATCCCCCCCTTCTCCTCCACGAAGCGCAACCCCGGAGACATTGTAGGCGGAGGAGGCGGAGGCGGAAGGAGGAGGAGGAGGAGGAGGAGGAGGAGGAGGAGGAGGAGACATTGGAGAGGGCGGAGGAGGAGGAGGACGAGGAGGAGGAGGAGGAGGAGACATTGGAGAGGGCGAAGGCGGAAGGAGGAGAAGGCGGAGGAGACATTGGAGGCGGAGGAGGAGGAGGAGAGGGAAGGCGAAGGCGAAGGCGAAGGCGAAGTGATCAAATCGCACTGCCACTAAGAACGCGAACCCAGATCACCAAGGGGAAGAGACGGGGAAGCCTCGCCTTCCCCCCTTGTACTGCCTCCCCCCCGGCAACAGCCGCGGACTCGAGAAGTGGGTGGAGGGAAGGGAGCACGGGCTAACCCAGCGGGGGTCCGAGCAACAATTGTCCCCAACAGAACTGCCTCAGTGTAGCGCACGCGAGGGACCCGGGAAGCCACCAGGATGGCCCCAAAGACCTTCAACACCACGAAAGAGGTTACAAGAGCCCCCGAATGGCTTTTAAGAGGCTAACAGAAACGCCAGACTATTTCCCAGGAGACGCCTCAGACGGCAAAACTCCCTGGTCTCCCATTGTTCCACACGCTGCTCGATATTTGCGTTGCCGTACATGCTTTTCGACCCTAGATGGCCGCATGAGCGCGGAAAAGCTCAGTCAAAGCTCAAGACAGCTCCAGAGGCCGCCAAGGCTGGGCCAAACAGGCGGAGAGGCTGCCTTCGCGGAACAAGGTGGCCAAAGAGGGGCCCAAGATGGCCGAAGAGGGTCCCAACCAAGAGGGCTCACAAGGAGTGCCTAGACTACTCAGGACGCCCGAGGGTCCCCAAGACGCTCAATAAGACATGTCAGAACCTTCCTATTTTCTGTCGATCGCATTCCATCCCAATTCTCGCTCTCTCTTCCCTCCAGATCCTCATGATGTCCTTCCTCCTCGTCGTCATCGTCTCGGGTGTTCGTTAACGCGGGGCAACACAGGGGGGTGGAGAAACGTGCACCTTTCGTGCACCTTTTGGGCCCGCAGCGGCAGAATAGGGGTCACTCAGGGCCGCTTCAGGCTCACTTTCCTACAACCCTTCCTCCCCCACGTGTTGCCTCCCACGTTTCCGTTCGCCCGATCATCCTCCTTGACCCCGTCCTCCGGTTCCCCTCCCCTGCTCAATCTAATTCCCCCCACGCGGCGCCGGCCAAGCCTGCGGCGCCTTCCATCGAGTTCCCCTCGGATTCTGACCGCAGCCTCGGGAATACCATGGGGACGGCGGGTGCTGCGCAAGCCCAATGGATCTTCACCACGTCGCGGATGGCGCGCGCGTGGGTGTTGCCGAGGCACCCATCGCATGGCGGCGGGAAGGCGGGCTTGTTGCTGTTGTCGCAGCGGCTGCAGTCGGATCCAGGCGTCTCTGGGCACGGAACGCATGGACCGCCCTGTGCGACCTCATTCTCCCATGGCTCGCATCGGTTGGGCGTGGAAGAGGTATCGTTCGGACCAGGGAGGCACCGCGGTCCCAACCCAGCTGGAGGAATCGGAATTGCAGCCCACATCGAGCCGACTGGGAAGGTCCCCTCTGTCAGGAAGTTGCCCTTGACCGGCAGCACCGTCCCGTTCTGGAAGACGATGCCGTGTCCGTCTGGGTCAAACTCCAGCTGGTGCGCTTGGAAACAGGCCTCCAAGGAAGGCCCGCTTCCCTAAACCTCCGCCTCATCCAAGGGGGAAGTCTGTGACCTCCTTCCCATTTCCCCCGATCTCCCCCTTCTCTAGGTGAACAAAAAAGCGCCTACTCCCCGGACCTTTCCAGGGGTGTTTTCTGACCAAGACTTCAATGCAAATCCACCCGTGGCGGCAGGGGAATGGTAGCGGTATCGGTATCAGTATCGTTTCCTCCTCGAACTCTCCCCACACCGCCCTCCCCGCCGCCTGAAGCGGTGGACTGGCGGACCAAAAAAGGGGGTGTACCGAAGAGGGCGGCCAGGAGGAGGGAGGTGAACACATCGTGGGCCAAGGCGTCTGCGCCGACGAGGGGGTGCCAGGGGATTTGTTAAATGAAAAAGAGGGGGCCATGAAATCGGGGAGATGCCATAGCCCTGCACACGATATCCACACACACACACACACACCTGGATCTCCCGACGAAAACGGAAGACCCTCGGGCTCTTCTGGCGCGCTTCGCGTACCATTGCCGCCACCGCGTGGACAAAGGGGTCCAGAGACAAGAGGCGCCTCTGGCAATGCCTGAAAGGAGAGGGCCTGGTCAATGCGTCCTCGCGACGTGCCTCTGCGACCGTCTGTCTTGGAAGAACCGCGGCACAACTCAAACACAGCAGAGAGAAGGGGGAGAGGGACGACAGGAGAGCGGGATGCGACGACGACGACGACGAGGCAACCGAGGGCCCCTCGCTTAGACGCCCCCAGAATAAGGGGGGGTCCATGGCCTCGGTGAGCGGCTGGTCCGCTGGGCATAGCCTGTACGAGTAGCCACCGCCGTGGTTATTCTCGACCTCCGGAGGGCGACCGGCTGTCCAAATGCACCGATCCTGCCCCGTCTGATGACGAGGACGGTGACGATGACGATGACGTTGCCGATGACGATGACGATGAGGATGATGATGATGATGCTGCTGCTGATGATGATGATGCTGATCACGATGATGATTTTGATGATGACGATGCTGCTGCTGCTGCTGCTGATGATGATGATGATGGCGATGATGGTGATTATGGTGATGATGCTGATGATGATGACGGTGGTGATGATGATGATGATGATGATGATGATGATGATGATGATGATGATGATGATGATGATGATGATGATGATAATGGTGAGGACGACCATGATGCTGGTGCTGCTGATGATGATGGTGATGATGGCGATGGTGGCGATGATGATGCTGATGGTGGTGGTGAGGATTGTGATGGTGATGATGGTTGTGATGATGATGATGATGATGATGATGATGATGATGATGATGATGATGATGATGATGATGATGATGATGATGATACGCATGCTGATGCTGATGATGACTATCATGAAGATCATGATGGTCATCATCACTAGCGATTGTTTCTGCCAGCTACTGCAAGAGACTGGGCACCGATCGGACCAGCCTTCGAGGATGGTGCAAAGCACCGCCACAGCTCAAGCACATGCGGGCGCAAAGCGCTCGAACATACAACCGACCAAGTGTGTGCCAACTATGTACGCTGGCTACGCCGGAATAAAGAAGCACCAAGACCCACATGTGACAGCACTGATTCCCTAAACAGAGCCCTCTCGATACCACGACCTGTGGCCTTGACTTCGGAATTCTGGAAACACATGTCCAAGACCATGCAGAACTTCCTAGGATCTACGGCCCCCTTTCGGTTTTGCAATCCGCCCCCGGGAAGAACGCCCTGGAGTTGCTGATGGGGCCTGCCCGTTCGGGAGCAGATCAATCTCTTGGGCCCGCGACAGCTTTAGTCCCGGGAACGGCCTGGGTCGAAGTCGTGTCTTCTCTCAACGGGGCACCCCACGGGCACGTAGACACGGACGCGGCAAGGAACACCATCGACCTCCGACACGCCAGGGCTCTGACGCAGGGCAGAAGCCGGAGCCTGGACGTCTCAGGCTTCTCGACACACGCGATGGTCAGCCGATGCAAGTACTTCTCAACTTCATTGGCTGCCCTCGCGCGCTCGAAGGGATGCCGGTGATCGAGGCTCGGGCCGTGCTGCAGCATGTCCGACACGCTTTGCGTCCTGCACGTACAGTAATCATGGGAAGCGGCCTCTGGTCTTGGGTGGTTCGCTGGCGCCGGTTCCGGCCGCAAGCAGGATGAGAGCACGCAGTCACTCTATGCTGCGTATCAGCCGCAAGATCGGCGGCCTCGCTTTGGCCACAGATCTTGCTTTCAGTATAAAGTGGATCCCGTCCGAATCCCATGTTGCAAATGGCTCACGGGGGCGCGGGAGCTCATCGGGGCCCTCTGATGGGGTCCTCAAGAAGTCTCCCGACGGCGCTTCCGACATCCAGGACTCGCTCTAAAGCACTGGTCAACCCGTCGAACCACCTGAATTTCGTCATCGGTCTGGGCACCGCAACACCGGCAACCCGGACTCGACCCCGGACTCGTGCAAGGACGACGAGGGCCAAGGCCTGGACCAGGGCAAGTTCTACAACTCGACACCCGACCACCCTGTCCGTCCTGAAACCCTCGCCGGTTCAAAGGTCCTACGTACCTATCATCCATCTGTGTCCGCCTGCCCTGTTCTGCGCCGTGCTGCTGGGTGCGACGAGGCACGCCGTCACGGGCCCCCTGGCCGGATCTACTCGGAGAGGGCCAGCTGGCGCGAGCATGCCTGAGATGAGACAGGCGAAGACCCACCCCCACCCCCAGTCCCGACGCCCACCCCCGAGCCGGCGGTTCAAGGGGTCGGGACTGGGGGTGGGGGTGGGTTTTCGGGGTCCACGAACCTCCACCCCCAGTCCCGACCCCTTGGACCGCCGGCTCGGGGATGGGCGTCGGGACTGGGGGTGGAAGTGGGTTTTCGCCTTCTGATGAGAGCCAGCCTACGTTACCGCGCCGGCCTGGTCCCATCTCCGCGGCGGCCGCGTCGCTGCCCGCGCTCGCGGCGGTTGCGCCGGGAGCAGTCTCATGCAGCGGCGCGGCGCCCCCTCGAGTGCGCCCGCCGGGCGGGCGCGCCGCTGGGCCTGCCCGTGCTGAGCGCGGCCTCGGTGCGGACCAAGGCGCGGCGTCGGGCTTATGCCGGCATGCTGGACGGCGTCGGCGGTTGGGTGAAGCCGCTCGGGCGGTCGGCCACGACCTCCACGACCTTCGTCGACATGGGCGCCTCGGTCCGCGATGGCCTCGCACGCCTCTTCCAGCTTGGGCGGCGCCAAACCTGCGGGAACCGCATCCTCGCGGCCGTCGCGCGGAGAGGCCCTCGCCATGCCGAGGCGGGGCCGCGCGACTTGCCCTCGGCCCAGCAGGCAGCCAAGGGGCGGCGCCAACTTGCGCCCCCCAAAATCCAGATGGCGACGCCCATCGAGGCCGTCGCCATGATCATCAACTACACGGGGAAATGCGGCCTGGAGCAGCAGGCGATCGCGGCACGGCTGCTCTTCGAGATCCACGGGCGCCCGGGCGAGATCCACGGCCCGAGGATCAAGGCCGCGGCACCGCCCGCGCCAGGCGGGCCCGACGCGCGTCGCCCCCACCCCGCGACGCCGCGCGCGGGAGGTCGGCGAGGCCTCGAAGACGGGGGAGTTCGACGCGGCGGCGAGGCTCGACCTCGAGCGCCAGCTGGAGCTTGGGCCAGCGCGGCCGCAGATGAACGCCTCGCGGCGCCGCGATGGCGCCGCCGAGACCGCCTCGCTCTTCACGATCAGCCAGTCCGAGGCGGCCGCGGCGCGGCGAGACGCCGCGCAGGCGCCGGGGCTTAAGAAGCTGGGCGCGCGTCACCTGCGCCAGTTGCGCCACTCAGGGCCCAGCCACGACTACGCCGCCAACCTGCGCGGCCTGGAACACATCCGCCGGCGGGGCCGCTGGAAGTCGCGGCGCTCCGCGAGGCGGCGCGGGATAGGCGGCCACCTGACCCAGCAGCTCCAGGAGATGGGCGCCGCCCACACCCCAGCGCCAGCGGCGAGCGGTGCCCCCCGCAAGAGGCCGAAAGCTTGGCCCACAGGGGCCAGCGGCAGCGAGCCAGGCCCACCTCCACTAGGCACGATGAGCGCCCGCACGTTGGTCAGCGAGCCCAATATGCCGACGTGCTGCGCCCTACGGCGGCACTCGGCCACCGCGACCTGCTCTGCCTCGGCCGTGAGCTGAGCGATCTCGGCCGTCAGCTCAGCGCGGAACCGATCTACCCGGTTTCCCACGATACCCGGCGGCGGTGGGTCGAACTCACCGAAGCAAGCCGACTGCACATCCGCTGTGTTTGTGGCCATATATAGAGATCACCGCCGGCAGTGTAGATCACGCAATCAGCTTCTGATAAGTAATGCCACCCGCCCCAGGTCCAAGTGCTGGGGCCATCCCGCCTCGCTGGCATAGAAACGTACACCCACCTGGTCGCCGCCACTGCAGCCACCGATCACCTCGAGGGCCGACCGCGGCCGAGCGTCCCCCCGCAGCGCCGAGCAGCAGCACGCCACACACGTGGCGGTGGCGATTCAGCCCAGCGAGCCGCCCAGCAGCCCGAAGACCCAGACCCGCACGTCGCAGCGCACGTCGCCCAGCACGGAGCGACTGGCCGTCGGCTCAGCCCCGCCACGAGTCCCCGCCAGCTCCGCAGGCACGCCGGCCCCCACGGGCTCCGGGAAGGCCTGCGCACGGGGCGCACGCCGGGCAGGCGGGCGCCGGGCAGGGGCCAGGCGCCAGGCACGTGGGCGCCTGGGCCCGCTCGCACTGCGGGATCGCCGCGCACTGCAGCGAGCACACCGGGCAGGCCGCCGAGGGTGGGCAGGCAAGGAGCAATTCGGACACACGGGGCACGATGGCAGCGCGGGGCAGCGAGAGACGTACGAGAAAAGGCCTGTCACGACGTGGTCTGCGAGCTCATCCCACATACTCAAGACTTGAGCGCCCAGAAAACGGCGAAGGGTACGCACACGCGCATCGGAAACCCGCGATCCCACGATAATGATCATCATGACCAACACCACCACCACCACCACCATCATCGACACCACCACCACCACCATCATCACCATCATCACCATCATCATCATCATCATCATCATCATCATCATCATCATCATCATCATCATCATCATCATCATCATCTCATATCATCATCATCATCCATCATCATCAACATCATCATCATCATCATCATCATCATCATCATCATCATCATCATCATTCATCATCATTATCATCATCATGATCATCATCATAATAATCATCATCATCATCATCATCATCATCATGATCATCATAATCATCATCATCATCATCACCATCAGCAGCATCATCGCCATCATCACCATCATCATCACCACCAGCACCGTCATCATCATCATCATACTCATCATCAGCATGCGTATCATCATCATCATCATCATCATCATCATCATCATCATCATCATCACCACCACCATCATCACCATCACAATCCTCACCATCACCATCAGCATCATCATCCCCACCATCGCCATCATCACCATCATCATCAGCAGCACCTGCATCATGGTCGTCCTCACCGTTTATCATCATCATCATCATCATCATCATCATCATCACCACCGTCATCATCATCAGCATCATCACCATAATCACCATCATCGCCATCATCATCATCATCAGCAGCAGCAGCAGCATCGTCATCATCAAAATCATCATCGTGATCAGCATCATCATCATCATCATCATCATCATCATCATCATCATCATCATCATCAGTATCATCATCATCATCATCATCATCATCATCATCATCGTCATCATCATCATCAGCAGCAGCATCATGCATCATCATCACCATCATCATCACCACGAGCACCGTCATCATCATCATACTCATCATCAGCATCATCATCCTCATCATCACCCACATCATCGTCATCATCATCGTCACAATCACAATGCTAAGCAGCATAATGATCATCATCAGCAGCAGCATCACCATGCTCATCATCATCATCAGCATCGTCATCATCAGCAGCATCATGCATCATTACCATCCTCATCCCCACCAACATCGTCATCATCATCATCATACTCATCATCACCATCATTATCATCATCGTCATCAGCATCACCAGCATCATCCTCATCATCCTCATCATCATCATCATCATCATCATCATCATCGTCACAATCACAATGATAAGCAGCAGGATGATCATCATCAGCAGCAGCATCATCATGCTCATCATCATCATCATCCTCATCATTATCATTGTCATCATCGTCATCATCGTCATCATCATCAACATGGTCATCTTCATATTCATCATCATCGCCATCATCTTCATCATTAGTATCATCATCACCATCATCATGTTCATCATCATCATCAGCAGCATCATCATTATCATCAGCATCATCATTATCACAACCATGATCATCATCAGACCTGCCAAACCATCCTCCCGCTGCGAAACAACACACGACAAAAGGCTTTTGCCCATGTTCGGGCCCTTGGGGGCCCTCACCGGCCTCGGGTGCCGCACGTAGAACACGCAGGATGAGGAACTGGTCCTAGGGGAGGACTCGGGACCTGTGGCGAGCCACGTCCGGGTGTGCCTGGGATCAGCGGATGCCCGTTCCCGGCTGCGGCAGGTTTGTGTCGCAACGACGTCGGCGTCGGTATCTGACCCTGCGCGGATCATTCGACCTTTAAGGATCAGCGGCTTTTTGGGCGCCATATCGTTCCACAGTGGCAAATTCTGTTCCACTGGCGGCGTTCAACCTTGAGCGCCCGCGCTGAGGTCGCAGCCGCGTCGACACGACACGAACCTACCGTAGGCCAGGGGGGCGTATCCAACAATCCTGAGCACATGAGTGCACGTGTTTCGATGCTGTGAACAATACAGCATCGCAGCAATCACGACTGGGGCTTTTGAAGCCTTCCTTCATCGCTAAGCCGCCAGATCGACCCACCATGGCCCAAGGGACCAAAAAAACTAGGCAAGCGAAGCCGCGTCGCGTTTTGCAAGACGCCCGGTTACCAGGATGACAAGACCAGGATCGGTGTACCAACGCTTCGACTTTTCAGAGTCGCCTGCCCCTGGGGCACTCGTTCCCTTCTCCATGGCCAAGTCTCTATCCCTCCCCGTTTCTTGACGTCCCGTGGGCCCTGAACTTGCCTCTGAAGGCCGAATATAATGGAAAAACTCAGGGCGCGATTCTCCAGTCGCCAGAAGTCGGGGTACGGCAGGCTCGTGTCGTCACGAGGTCAGCTTTGGTTTCTGACACCGCATAACTCGTCCAACCATGAACGATCGCGGCTTTCCGACAGCGCAGATCCTTCGATGGCGGCCGATTCCAGGCCACTGGCGGCGTGCAGCCTTGAAACCGCGCGCTGGGACCGGGATCACCATCGCGTCGACGCGGCGCGAACCTACAGACATCCGACGACGTGCCCTGTTCAATGCGCGACCATACACGCTGGTCGGAAGAAGTGTGTCAAAACATGAAGCAAGAAGGCGGATTAAGTTGATTGGGTACAGGCCCCCCCAGAGAAAAACAAAACACAGCAAAAGCACGCCGATTCTTTAAGTAGGAAGGCGCTTGAAGCAGATTGGGATCTGGGAGTCCAGAAATACCTACTTTCAGCGACCGGCGCGCAGAGGCCCCAGCCCCTCCCCAGAGGAGCCCTTCCCGCCGCGCAGCATGTTTTACTGCCCGGGGGCCCGACAACGGGCCCCAGAGGCTGCAAGCACTAAAGCACACCAGCAGCAGCAACAGCACCGGCAACAGCAACAGCAGCAGCAGCAACAGCAACAGCGAAAACAACAGCAACAACAACAACAACAATCGTGTTAAGACTGCTTGCTCCTATCTGCCCACGTGCCAACCAATACGTATACCCCAAGCCCTCGGTACCCGCCCTCGTCGTCTTCGATCGTACCCCCTTGGGGGTATATCTTCCTTACCTGCCACGTGCATTTAGTGCAACCCCTAGAAGAGAGGACGGGTGCAAGGGGGAGGGAGAAGAATGGAGCACGAGAGAAATTAGCAGGAGGGGGGCAAGGAGCAGAAAACATATGGCAGAACCAGACGGGCAGATCGGGTGGGCAGACCCATAGCGGGCAGGTCAGGAAGGCGGGCCCAGGCGACCAGATCGAGCAGGCAGGTTGCTGAGGCGTGGGTCCTGCATGAATCGCGAGGAAGTCTCGAGCGATAGCGCCATTCCCAGGTAAATCGCGAGAAAAACCAAAGCGAGAGCGTGATTCCTGAGCGCCGAGGGCGCATCGTTTGAGTAAATTGGGAGGACATGAGAAAATATCAGGCGGGAGCCGCCGTCGTTGTAAACCGGGGGCCAGGGGCCCAGTTTGAGCCCCGCGATTTTCCCTGATTAAGAACAGGGTGCGAGCCCCGGGGGAAGCACTTCAATAGAAACAACACGCTGGTCACTGGAGGGGGATCAACAACAATTATTCGTTATTGAATAAACTTGAACAGCAGCAGCAGCAGCAACCACAACAACAGCAAACAGCAACAACAGCAACAACAACAACAACAACAACAACAACATCAACAACGACAACGACAACCACGACACAAACGACAATAACAACGACAACGACAACGACAGCGACAACGCCAATTATACGACAGCGACACTTCACGACACGGCTGGTCGCTCTTATCTGCACGCGTGCCATTCAAAACGTATGACCCAAATCCTCGATGCCCGCCATGTTCGTCTTCGATCGTACCCCCCTGGGGGTACAACTTCCTTACCTGCCGCGTGTAAGTAGTGCAGCCTCCATTGCAGGGGAAGAGAGGACGGATGGAACGGAGAGGGAGAAGGATGGAGCACGGGATTAGCAGGAGGGGGCCCGCAGCAGAAAACACGTGGCATAACCCGACGGGCTGAGCGGACGGGTAGACGCTAACGGGCGGATCGGAAAAGCGGGGACAAGCGGCCAGGTCGAGTAGGTGGGTTGCTGAAGCTTGAGTACTGCGTGAATCGCGAGGTGGTCTCGAGCGATAGCACGGCCCCCACGTGAATCGCAAGAAAAAACAGAGCGAGAGTGCGATTCCTGGGCGTCGAGAGCGCGGCGATTGTATTACTTGCGAGGAAGTCCCACGCGAGAGCGCGATTCCTGCAGAACTTGTGAGTAAGTCCCACACGAGAGAACGACGTTGACACACGT